GCAGGTGGAATCTCAGGTCCAGTTCGTCAGATCCGCTCTCAGAGACTGGGCCTCCTCCTCAATGTGAGCAAGTCAACCTTGTCTCCGACCCAGAGAATAGAGTTCATTGGAGCAGTGCTGGACTCGGTGCAGGCAAGAGCGTTTTTGTCAGAGACACGATTCCAAGCCACGTTGAACATCATTCAAGGCCTCAGGCGATTCCTGACCACTACTGCAAGGGTTTACCTATATCTGCTTGGCCACATGGCAGCCTGCACTTATGTGGTCTGTCATGCCAGGCTGAGGCTCAGACCCCTACAGGTGTGGCTTGCGTTGGCCTATCGCCCAGGACGCGGCAACCTGGTCTTAGTAGTAACGGTATCAGAGCACGTACTCGAGTTCCTCCAATGGTCTCTTGACCCTCAGATGGTGTGCAAGGGAGTCCCCTTCAACAGCCCCCAGCCCTCCTTGTCCCTGGTAATGGACACATCAGCTCTGGGTTGGGGGTGCGCATTTGGGAGATCAACAAACGCAGGACTATGGTCTCAGGATGAGCTCTCCCTTCATATCAACATCAAGGAGCTCAGGGTGGTACGCCCAGCATGCCAAACGTTTTGGACCTGGTTGCAAGGCCAGTGCGTGGCAATGAGGACAGACAACACCACTGCCTTTTTTTACATCAACAAGCAAGGTGGAGCCCATTCCTCCCCCTGTGTCGAGAAGCCCTCAGGTTCTGGGAGTTCTGCATAGCCCACTCCATTCACCTGGAAGCATCCTATCTCCCAGGGGCTCAGAACGACCTGGCAGACCACCTCAGCAGATTGTTCTGCAATCATGAGTGGTCCGTCCGTCCAGACATCATACACTCCATCTTCCAAAGGTGGGGGTTTCCCCAGGTCAATCTGTTTGCCCCCCGCAGCAACAGGACATGTCCAATGTTCTGCTCCTTCCAGAATCACAGCCCGAGCTCGGTCACAGACATGTTTCTGCTACCCTGGGGAGGCTGCCTGTTGTACACCTTTCCCTCATTCCCTCTTGTACACGAGGTCTGCAGGGACAGAGCAGAGGTAATCCTGGTGGCCCCGGTGTGGCCTCGACAACACTGGTACACCACACTCCTGGAATTGTCAGTGGACACCCTGATTGCATTGCCACTCCACCCCAACCTGATCACTCAGGACCACGGTCACCTGCTCTAACCAAACCTCAAGTCCCTCCATCTCACGGCTTGGAAGCTTCATGGTTAAATCTCATGGAACTTCTGTGCTCGGAACCTGTATGGGAGGTCCTACTTGGCAGCAGGAAACCATCCACCAGGGCCACTTATCTATCTAAGTAGAAAAGGTTCGTTTGCTGGTGTGCCCAGCGTCACACACCTCCACTCCAGGTGCCTATACCACTCATCCTAGAGTACCTCCTACACCTAAAACAACAAGGCCTGGCAGCGTCATCCATCAAGGTTCACCTCACTGCTATCTCGGCTTTCCACCCAGGAGTATCTGGACGCTCTGTATTTGCCAACCCCATGGTGTGACATTTTCTCAAGGGCCTGGAACACCTCCATCCCCAGATTAGACAGCTAGTCCCTGCATGGAACTTTAACTTGATCCTCTCCAAACTAATGGGACCCCCATTTGAACCGCTAGTGACTTGCTCCCTTCTCTATCGTACAAGGTAGCTTTTCTGGTCGCCATTACCTCAGCAAGGTGGGTGTCTGAGTTAAAGGTCCTCACCTCTGACCCACCTTACACAGTTTTCCACAAGGATAAGGTGTAACTTAGGCCTCAATCAGCCTTTCTTCCTAAGGTTGTGTCAATTTTCATATGAGACAAGACATATACCTACCCATTTTCTATCCTAAGCCTCATGCCAGTAACCGCAAGCAGAGACTGCACTCTCTGGTTGTTAGGCGGGCGCTGACCTTCTACATCGAATGCACTAAGCCGTTCAGAAAGTTGAACCAGCTATTCATAGTGGTGGCTGACCGAATGAAAGGACTCCCGGTATCATCACAAAAAATATCTTCCTGGATCATGTCCTGCATCTGCATGTGCTACGAGTTGGCCAGAATCCCAGCCCTGACATTTACGGCACACTCCACAAGGGTACAGGCTTCATCGACGGCATTCCTGGCCCAGGTCCCGATCCAAGAAATCTGCAGGGCAGCGACTTGGTCCTTGATGCATACAGGAGTGGCACCAGGGTTTTTGCCGCCCTAGGCGGCAGCGCTCCTCCTCAGAGCATTCGGTGGTGGGGGTCCTTCTGCTCCACATCTTAGGGGCGCTTCGGTGGCAGGTCCCGGAGCAAGTGAAGGACCCGCCGCCGAAGCGCCCTGAGGACACAGAGCGGAAAGACCCCCACCACCGAATTGCCGCTGGGGACGGCAAAATGCTGCCCCCCAAATCCTGCCGCCCTAGGCGACCGCCTAGGGTCACCTAGTGGAAGTGCCCTGGGTGCATATGTTCACCTCTCATTATCCCATCGTCCAGCATGCTAAAGATGATGCAGCTTTTGGCAGAGCAGTGCTCCAATGAGCGATTCCATAACTCCAACCCCACCACCTAGGTAAGGCTTGGGAGTCATCTAATTGGAATCGATATGAGCACTTGAAGAGAGAACGGTTATTCACCTTCTCGTAACTATTGTTCTTTGAGACCTGTTGCTCATATCCATTCCAAACCCACCCGCCTTCCCCTCTGTTGGAGTAACCGTCAAGAAGGAACTGAGGAGGTGCCGTGTCGGCAGGGTCATATATAGTGCACTATGGAGGCGCCACTCCGGGGGCGCCACAGCCGACCCGATGGGTGCTGCTAGGGGAAAAACTTTCCGACAACTGTGCATGCAGCGCACAGACACCTAACTGGAATGGATATGAGCAAGACATCTCGAAGAACAACTGTTCCGAGAAGGTGAGTAACCATTCTTTTTGTTGGGGCCCCTAAAGTATACCTTTCATTAAAGGAATATGAATCCAATCTAACGTTTCTTAAAAAGGTAACTTTTACATACACTGAACAATGTGAATTTGAAGGTATTTGGTCACTATGAAGATTGTTACTGCCTATTATTTGATCATGACATCCCAGCTTTTGTGTGCATTAATGAAACCTTTCTGGATGACCTTGCAGGACCTTTTCTTAGATCAGTTATTTCCTGATATGTACTTGGCTCAGCATAGTTGAATCTGACTTTGATATTTAGATTGTAAGATACTTGTGGCAGCAAACAACATGTTTTCATATGTATCTGTAAACCATCTAGCACATGGTTGGTAAATAACAAAATTCCCAGACGAAGACTTTATGAAGATAGAGTTAAGAATGAGAAGAACAGATCAATAACTTAAAAGTTAAAATCCTTAGAAGAACATTGTAGTTGTGGGGGCTGGAAAGGGAAATCTTTGAATTTCTGGTTCTAAGTTAAAGCACAGCATGGAAATTTGCAGCTACTGCTATTCCATCATATTGTTGCCTCTTTTTGACCTGAGCCATTAGTCAAGGTTTGGGGCCCTGGGATGTTTCAGCTGGAAGTAGAAATTTGTGATAGGTATTTCTTTGGTGCAGATTTGTTTATTTACAAAGAATGTACAAAGTCCTGTCTTTCTGAACGCAGGAGGAACCAAGAACAAAAGGAACAGTTTCTTAGCTTACTGCCCTGAAGCCTCTTTATCTAATACCAGACCCAAAACCTCTCTCTAGCTTTTTCCAGGGTCACACTGTGCTCACAGGCTTCTGCTTGGCTTACCTTGCCTCTTTGCTTCTCCCTCTTTCTCTGTTCTTGTCTGTGACCTCAGTATCTCTGTGTTCTCTCACACTCCCACACACACCTAGCCAAAGCAATACTCAGCCCAAAAGCTCCCAGGCAGGGTCACACACACCTTTTTCTCTTAGGAAGGGCTTATGTTTAAAGTTATGTTGATTGAAGATTGAGTTCGCACCTATCAACCTCAATGGGATTATAACCTATTCCATAGCAAGGTTTCACCTAGCTCATAATGGTATTAATTATCATCATGACCTTAAATGTGTGAATTCTTCCTCCATAAAATCCAATTTTGGAGCGACTGCTATTCTCTCAAGACTCAGCCTGGAGTTACTATTTTTTTATGGGCTATGCTGTGAGTCACTGGAAAAATAAATCAGTATTGATGGTGTAAGCACTGGGGTAGCATTAACTCATTCCAAGATTAGACTGAGTTTGTGAACTCTGTTTCCATTTACATCCTGCTCACATACCAGTTCTTCCTCCATTTTGACTTGCTGAGATAATGCTCACCAAAAACAGTCCTTGGATTCCCCACATTGGTATATTTATATCTTCTTTTGTTGGGCCCAGCATCCCTTAGAAACACTTTTTAGTAGGGCTATCCAGCCTTAGGTGCACCCTTCAGCCAGTAATTCTGTAGAATAGGCTCTCCACCGTGGTGACCCCTGCAGGACAGCTAGCAGTGGCCGAGAATGCAGACAGCTTGGGGCAATGGCAGCATGAGATCCAAGGCTTCCCTCTGAACCTTTATCAAAATGCACCACTTTCATCTTGTAAATATTTTAGTCCAGGTCTTCAGCTGATGTAAATCACAGTAGCTCCAGTGACTTTCCCCAGCAGAGGATCCAGCCTTTTATCTTTAAAACCATGTAGTAAGTTTTAGGAAAGAAAATCGTGATCTATAGTGTTTTAATAGATCCATGGCCCACATAGTCACATTTCTTGTCTCTTACTACGGTCGATAGCAAATGCGTCAGAGGAAAGCATAAAGGTCCTGTTTCTCTCCTCTTCCCCTGCCCCGCCCTCCTCCCCCAAGTGTAACTGAAGTGCCAAAAAATGGTCTTTCAATTTGAATGCAATCAATTAATCTTAACATTGTGAAAACTATATTTTGAGAAGATGTCTTGGCTACCTAGAATAGCAAAACAGTTATGTAATATTTGAGGCTACCCACATTTGAAAATGTAGCACAAGTGCAGTGTTCAGCAGAAGGGTGAGGACTGAAAATGTCATTCTGTTTTTTTTTAACCTTGTAGATCTTGAGCAACCTTGTGATGGAGGAGCTCCTGCCTAACCTTCAGACCATGCTCCTGCCTAAAATGAAAGGAAAGAGGAATGATAAGAAGAGGGTTTGGTTTGCGGTAAGTACTGTCCTTTGCACAACTCTTGTCTTGCATAGCAATTGTCCAATGCGCTAGTCCATGCATACTTCTATTTTTTGTTTTTAGATTGTAGAAGAAACATACAATCTGGTCCAGGAGCAGGTTTCAGAAGGATTAAACACCTTGAAGGAAGAATGTAAAGATCTTACAAAGAATCTAGAAGGAACCATTCGTTCAGACATGGATCAGATTTTGAACTCAAAGAACTATTTAGCTGGAAAAATCAAAGGTTAGTGGGGATAAAAAAAACCAACCTCCTCTCCCCATGTCTCACTATTCTGGAGCTATTCTTCAGAATTACCTATTGTTCTCATGTGCTTGAATTATCAAGTGCCCACTGGTTTGGGTGCCCGACTTGAGACTCTGATTTACAGAAAGTGCTGAGCACCTGTAGCTTCCACAGTCTTCAGTGGGAATTGTGAATGCTTAGCCCTTCTCAATATCAGAGGCCAGGTATTTCAAACTGGATTCCTGGAAGTGGAGGCAACCCAAATCACCAGCCACTTTTGAAAATTTTGATTAGAATGGCTAATTCTGCTTTCAGTTTCACCTGTACAACATTATATGATGAAGATATAGGTTACACAAGCACAACCAAAAGCAGAATATGGCCTACATGCTCCACAGTGGAAGTTTTGATTAAGCGATAAATGTCTATGTTTCAGCACTATATTTAAAACAAATGGCTTATTGAGTAATTTAAAACTTGTATGATGTGAGCGATTATAGTTTTGTAATGAATATGTAAATTAACATAAAAAGTAGACAAAACATTAGCTTATGCTGCTGAAGCACGCTTTCTAGAAACCATAGATGACAAGAAATAGATGAAGATTTAGGCAATTATTTTCAAAAAGCTTGGAGCATTTCTCTTTAGGGAACTCTTTTGTGCAAAGGAGTGTAGATTGTTTTCCTTGCTGTGTAAAGTTCCCTGTTTAATTAACATGTAATACAGTGTACCTTAGGTCACAATGACCATGCTATTTACAAACATCCCAGTGCTTGCCAATGCCTGCCTATATTTCTTCTTCTTCGCTCACAATGTATCCAATCCACTATAATTTGGCAGGAATGACTAGGAAAAAATATCTTTAAATTGTCATTTAAACTCCACAAACTCTTCCCTTCCTTACCCAAGTCATATTTGAGGAGGACACGTGTCATAAATGGCTCTGGGAAAAGTATTCTGATAGAACTCATTCTACAGTCTGTAGCCCTTTCATTTAGATTCTTCAGTCTAACACCTGGTGGCCTAAAACACGTCTGTCTGATTCTTTAATACCTCAGCAACAGTCTCCGAGCCTGCTGAGAAGTGCTGCATGGAGAATATCCAGCCATTTTTGCCTTCCATATTGGAAGAGCTCATGGGCCCAGTGAGCTCTGGATTCAGTGAAGTCCGTTTGCTCTTTGAAAAAGAAGTTAATGAGATCAGCCAGGACTTCCAGAAGACAAATGATGCCACAAAGCTGAAGGAAGTAAGAAAAGAAGTCTTGGTCCTTTTTTACACTCTCACATGTTATAAAAATTCTCTATATAGATCTTAACTGACAATAGCTATATTGACTCTGCAGAGCCAAACAGGTATAAATTCCTGTTTTTCTCAGTTAAATAGTCATCTGACTCAGACACACAGAGTGCAATAGATTGAATAATGATTTGCCATAATCAGTTGTGTGACCATCACTAAATTTCTATATTAAGAATCCATCTCAGTTTGCTTTCTTTGTAAAATATTTTTTTCCCACTGGAATACAGAATTTGAAGCAGCTGATGAACCTGCCATTCAACTCTGTGAAAATGGAACCTTGCTATCTGAAAGTCAATCTCCTCCAGGAACAACTCCAGGACCTCAAAAGCCGCTTCAAATTCTACCATATTGATTTTGTGGTTCAGAGGACGCAGAACTTCATGCAGGAGGTACTGTAAGATCCATTTTTCCCACTTTGGAAGAACAGAATAGGTTTGCCCATCTGCTCTGCTTCAAAGTAGTCTTGATAGGGAGTTATGCACTGTAGTAGTTTTGGGCCGCGGTTCGACCCTCAGCGGGGCTGTGGGGGAGCCCACCACCTCGCTACAGTCAGAAAAGAGCCCCGAGCCCTCTATCAGGGTGGGGCAGTAATCACACAGTCAGGCAAATACCCAGGCCTTTAAGCAGGGGCTGGGTCAGAGTTTGTAGCAGCCCAGGTCCTAGGTCAGGGCAATAATCAAATAGTCAGGCAAATACCCAGGCCCTTAAGCAGGGGCTGGGTCAGAGTTTGTAGCAGCCCAGGCCCTAGGTCAGGGCGGGGCAATAATCAATAGTCAGGCATGCACCCAGCCTCTCTAGGCCAGGGGAAAAAGGGGGAGTCTACCACCCAAGGAATGGGTGGTAGGGAGGACGCAGGCCCTCCCACTCCACTGCGTCCCAGCCTGGGGCCCTAGCAGCGACGGATGTTCGCTGCTGTCAGTGGGGATCCTGGCCGCAACACACTGACATCGGCTCCGACAGTGCAGCAGCCAGACTGGGGTCGGCTGCCCCCGGGCTACTTCCACACTCCCCCTTGTATGGTACCTGGGCCATCTTAGTGTCGTCGGTGCTCTCCACGAGCATTGGCTCCTCTGGGTAGGTAGCGAAGGGCAAGCTCAGCTCCTCCTCGGGGTAGCTGGCACAGGGCAGGCTCAGCTCCTCCTCGGGGTAGCTGGCACGGGGCAGGCTTGGCCAGTCCTCCTCGGGGTAGCTGGCACGGGGCAGGCTTGGCCAGTCCTCATCGGGGTAGCTGGCACGGGGCAGGCTTGGCCAGTCCTCCTCGGGGTACCTGGCGAGAGGTAGGCTCGACCGGCCCGGTGAGTCAGCAGGCCGCTCGCGGCCTGCGGCTGTTTCCCAAGCAGGAGCGCGGCCAGGGACGTCTGCTCTCTCCGCTGGCCTGGGCTCCACTGAGCTTTGCAGGCGGGCTTTTATACTTCCGGGTCAGGGCCGTGACCTCGGAGGGGCGGGCTCCGCCCACGTTGGTAGTAGGGGAGGTTCGGCCCTCAGCGGGGCTTTGGGGTAGCCCACCGCCTCGCTACACGCACATTCACAGAATGGTGAATAGACTAGAATGAAAATCGAGATTACAAAATCCAGGAATATCACAGCTGACAGGGGTGCCATCATCTTTAAATCAGTGTTTATTCCTTTTAAAGGCACAGTACTTAGGAGCTAAAGGTTGATCATCTCTTCATCTGACCTTTGAATTTCTGAAATCTTAGTGTCTCAGATTCTTAGGGCAAATTTCAGAGTGCCCTCAGCCTGGCCTCTAAATTTGTGCAGTAAAAATGCTGTTGGCACACACAAATCAGGTGACGAAGAGTCTGCCTCATTTACGTACTCAAGCATGTCTTTTATGAAAGATCATAAAAATGTATTTTTGGTATTTATGCAAGGGAATGGACTGGGTTCTCCTTTATAGTTCTAGTCTCTCATGATAGGCAGTAAGGCATTTCATTAGAAAAATGGGCAATTATTTTTATATTCATTTTTATCTCAGGGTATAAATGAATTTAGAGACTTAGATAGAATAACTGTGGTGATTCTAGTTCCCATGCAGAGGGCTGAACTGCCTGCCTGATTCTTAATTAGAAAGAAATCCCACCCCCGTCCTACTTTCACAAAGTATTGGCAGGGATATTTGGCTTTTTTACTTCAGGAGCATTAAACAGAGATCACCTATTAGGATCAAGTAGGCATATGCCACACAGACGTCTTGTGATTGCCAGAGTACAGGACAGGACAAGCTTGCATAGCCTTGTGTTGTCTTCTGTATTTTTAGTAATGTAGTCAATAAGGTATATAACCAGTTCAGTAGGGACCTATAAGCAGTGTAATTGGTACAGTTCTGTGGAGTGGGGCTCACAAGGCACCTGTTTTGTGACACAAAGCTGTATTCTGTTGCGACTCCAACTGCAGTAGAGCAAATGAGGTGGTGGTGCTTGATGTAGCCAGTGGTATTGGTAGCTACATGGATTCATGTGCCACCTGTGCCTCCCTCCAGAAACTACTGTAACTCATTGTAAAATACAACCTCTTTAAAAATATCTCTGCCTGTATATCACACTTTCTTCCCTAGACTTTATCATTCAGGCACTTACTTATAAACAAGATCTGTGTTGATTATGATCTTGTTGGTTCCTGCTGCTTTTTCCCCACTTGAACTTAGATGGCCAAATTCATACCTATTGAGCAAACCCAACTCCAGCAAAGTTGCTCCCTCACACAGCTGCACTGCGTTTTCCTCTAAATGTTGTTTTTTGTGACACCATAATTTTTGTCAAAGCAACCAGCTGTGATGTCACAGAAGATACCATAGATGTCTTTAAGAAAACCTAAAATGAGGAATGATCAGCAGCTAAGGAATTTTTGAGAAACAAAATTCTGTTTTCACTCCCATGTTTCGAGTAGGGACTGCCCTGAACTCCTGCTCAGGCAAAACACCCGTCAAAGGAAGAGGTTCATAATGAAACAGGAGAAAGAAGAGATAGATAGAAGAGAATGTTTTTCAAGGTTTTCCATAAGTTGCTTGAAAGGGAGAGTACAAGTTGTTCCAAAAAGCTCATTTATATTGCTTTTCTCTCTTAAAGAGGCCATTATTTTTCTCATGAGAAGTATAAAACGGTTTCACTTTGTGTTTGTGGGCATATAATATTTATTTTTATTAATAAGTGGCTAGGCCAATATGTCTTCATTAACATTGTTTTAGTTTAAAAGAAACCTCTAGCTTAATTCCCACTAACTTTGTACAGGTGTAAATGACCTACACAAAGTGCCAGGCACTGGAGCATCAGGTCCCTATTCTTCAAAGTTGCCGAAAAAGTAGTATTTAAAGCCTGCGGGGTTATTGTCATCTTCTGGCTAATTTATGAAAACTAGGGCCATGTGCTCAGCTGATGTAAATCAATGTAGCTCCACTGAAGTCAGCTGAGTATCTGGTCCAAGATCTGCAAATGCATAGAAAACTTGAGTGGCTAAGCTTTCCAGCTGGTCTCTAAAACTATATCTGCAGTTTTAATGTCCAAGATTTTGCGTGCCCAAAGTTTGAATGTCATGCACTTTTATACATATATTGAGTAGACATGTGGGTACTTAATTTACATGTGCAAATGCAACTTGCGTGTTCTAATCTGAGTCTGGTGCAAACCTAATTCTAAAAACTACACTTCAAAACTTGACACAACCTATGTTTAGCCATTAAAAAAACCAAAAACCTAGGTAAGGGCACTGCGTACAAGGTCATATCTTTTGCAACAGGAAAATCCCTAGAGTATTACATGGATATCTATATACTAATTTGAAAATTCCCATGTGAAGCAGAGGACATATGGAATCATGGGCTGTTTTCCCTTAAAAATGAAGTTGAAAACATAAAGTACAAATAATTTCCACCTGCAAAATTGTTGCTAATAAAGTTTCTCCAAACTAGGGTAATTTTTTAATGTGTCACTGGATGGTGTGAGAATTTCTCAAGCCCTGAAAACAGAGAATTCTGAATCTACTTTAATTTTCATCATATATAAATTGGCACTAGGAGGGCTTCCCAGAATAGCTATACCTTTATAGTTCTTCTGGCAAACCTTTTCTAGTGTAGACCTGTCCTTAGACTTGAATTAGAAATTGAAATAGTAAGTTCCATTTTCTTATTCTCTTGCAGTTGTGTTCTTTTGCTTTTCCAGTCCCCAGAGAGTGTTCAAATCCAATCTAAACTCCTTTTTTTCCACTGACATTTTAAATCTTGTTTTAAGAAATCCTGAAAACGTTTCTATTGATTTTTAGGGTTTGTACTCTTTCTTCCCCTCCCCCCGCCTCCACCTCCACCTCCACCTCCACTTCACAAGCACACTTTAACAAACTATTAAGTTTACAATTCTATTTGTGTCTGGAAGAACTTGTAACTAGTAACATGTTGTAGTTCAGAAGTCTATCTAAAAATAGTAGGGATCATAAACTGCACCTGGTCTTGCTCAGTTTGAAGTCATGGGAATTTTGCCATGAACTTCAGCAGGAGTGGGCCTGGCAATAAGTATGGCAATTTTAATCCTTTGCCTTGATTACATTTGTCTTTATTTCTAGCTTATGGAAAATGCAGTGTATACTTTTGAACAACTTCTCAGTCTGAGTAGCCAAGGAGATACAGTGAAAATTTCAACTGCCATTGAAAAAGTCAAACTACGAGTACTGAAGGTAAAAATTATCTGGCTCTTAAGTGTACTAGAAAACTAGAGGATCTGCTTAGGTGTTTTGTAATAAATTGAAGGCATTTTTTTTACATACATTATTTTAATAATGAGAAGAAATGTGTTTCACACCATCTAATGGGAAATATTTCAATGCATCCACTTGTTTTCACTGACTGGAATGATTGGCCATATTCTTAACTGCCTTGCACCTTATCTATCCCTGTGCAAAATGAGTGTAAAATGCTACCTCTGGTGTAAGTGAGTGGAGAACGCTAATTTAGTAGCATTTTGCAAAAGTGCAAATGACTATTCCAGGTGCAATGCAGTGGAGAATTAGGTCCTTCCTAAATGGTCTGATGGGACTTCAAATAATAATACTGTTTTTCTTACTCCTATACTCAAATCATTGGACCATGCCTTTCTCTAGTCTCATGGTATTCAAGTAGCTATGGACAAACCATATGGATAAAATTTGGCCCAAACTTGAACATTTTTTGAGGCTCAAAATAATTTGGCTAACATTTAAAAAAAATATTTATGGCACACTTCATTTGCATGCAATACTGCACTTTTAGGGACAGATCCTCAATTGGTGTAAATTTTCATAGATCCACTGACTTCAGTATAGTTATGACAATTTAGAGGATCTGCCCCCAAAATTCTAACGGGTCCCAGAAGTGGAAGTGTTGAAATAACATGAAAGAGGCAGTTCTCATGGAGAGTGCTCATCTGAATTCTCAGACTTTAAGGTCAGAAGGGACCATCCTGATCATCTAGTCTGACCTCCTGCACATTGCAGGCCACAGAACCTCACCTACTCACTCCTTTAATAGGCCCATAACTTCTGGCAGAATTACTGAAGTCCTCAAACCTTGATTTAAAGACACCAATTCATATTCTTTGGGTTGCCCGTCAGCAGGAACAGGCCAACGGGAACAAACTACTTGTATGAATTAATTGTTCTAACTGTGTTTTTTCTGTTGTCTGTTTTGACAGCAATATGATTATGACAGCAGTACTATACGGAAGAAAATATTTCAGGAAGCATTGGTACAAATCACATTGCCCACAATGCAGAAGACACTGGCTTCAGCTTGCAAACCAGTAGGTAACTTTATGGCTCCATGCTGGAATAAAATTAAAGGGAAGGAGGAATTAGCACACTGATGGCTATATCCTAAGCCACCAAATGCAAATTAGCTACAGGTGGTCATGTAAAGAGGCTGGTCACAGGGCCAACATGATCCTGAGGGTGGTCAGTTCGGGGCATCAGTGGTGGTGAAACGATAACGGATGTGGATCTGATTTGGGGTGGGGAGAGAATTCAAATAAATAAGTTCTCTTCTAAAATCTTTTGGCAGCCCTATGCAAATCCCAATCACCTCTTCTATGCAGTGAGGGGTAATGGGAATTATTCCAGCCCTAGAGCTGCAATAATCCTCATGCTGCTCCAGCAGTTTATGGAGAGATAGGAAAGAACTAGGGTCTTTATGCGTTTTTTGTTTTGTTTTGTTTTTGTTTGGCAGGGAGACATTGGGGCAGTCTCTGGGGGAGATGCTCCCCCAGAAAATCTGATTACAAGGTCAGGGCAAATGTTTGACCCCATCAAACTGATCTTCTCTCTCTGGCTGACAGCTAAGGTTCTAAGTTCTGAGCCTGTAGTTCCATCTTCATGTTCTACAGCACCTCTGGGAGGCCACTGAGCTGAAAGTCTGTTCCTTGTAGTAGGACACTGGAGGAGCAGTGTGCATGCTCACTTTTTTCCCTGTTAACTACCTTCAACACCAACTGCCATGTAGGGGAAGGGAAGTGGGAGGAGTTGAGCAGATATATAACTACTGTGGGTTTATCTTCACTAGACTTTTGTATCTCATGTTAATTGATTGCCACCTAAGAAGGAGTGCTTAAAACATTTGTAAAGCTTACTGTGGATACTCCTCTCATGTTTGTTCCAGGCAACAAATCTTTGCTGTTTATCCATTGGATAAATAAACATGAAACAAACATATCTCCTCATTAGTCTTTTTTACTTAGTATGTTTAATCAATTAACATGAGGTACAAAACTCTAGTGTAGACATAACCAAGTGTGGCTGTCTCAGATTTCTTTTCCTCACCCCCACCCACAAATAAAAACAAAGTCCTCTCTGATTTGCTTGGGAGCACAAGTGGGCTGCATGCTTTCCGTGTCTTGCACCACAGAATTACCAGGGCTCCTGAGTGAATAGTCTGGAATGGTCAACAGTCTCAAACCAGAATTGTTCTTTCTATAGTTAAAAGGAATAAGAATAAATCGATTTCGAGCTGTTTAGAATACTGAAATGTATTGGTGCCCTAAATTGCACTGCCATGTATTCGTTTGTCACATGGGATGATTTAGGAATAACCGGTGTCTTTTCTGTGAGAACATATGGCATAAATAATGTGTGAAACATAACAGATGCAAGAAATTATAGTGGATAAGCTTTCAGTATTAAATGAATTTTAGCATGTTATATTTGTAAGTCTGTGAATGTGAATCATCTGACCATTAAAATTCATGACTTTTTAATATATTCAAAAGCACATGTGTACATTGTAGGGTATGCCTCTTTATTTCTTTTCAGATCCACAAATCTAATAGTCTTTTTACGGTTTGTAGACAATTGGCAATATATCCAGGATGTGGTATTTATTTGTAAATAAAGCCTGAAATCAAAAACTTCTATCACATTTAATATTCTGGAGAATGGAGTCCTCTCATTTTCTCCACTGAACAGGGATAGGGAAGGCAGTGGTGGAGCAAACTTTCCCTGCCGTCACTCTGCTAGTATGCCTCCATGTACTCAACTCTAGGAGTGAGAGAGTAATATAGTTCACATACCTCTCTGCTGGTAAGCCAACAAGGATGTCTATTAAGACCATTTGAGATGATGGTTTTTGTGATGCAGATACCTTCCTAAGGACTTGATGGAGGCCTCTAGACTCCCTTCACATAAACCACCAAATAGCCATCCAGTGGTAATGACTAAGGCTAAGATCATCTCATGGAAGTCACTGAATCTGTGACTTCCATGACATTCTCCATTTCAGCCCTGGAGTGACAGGGCTGGAGCTGTCACAGCTGGTGGGGACCCTGGAGCTCTGAGCTGCCGTGGGCAGTGGGTGCCCCCGCAGCTGCCAGCCGCAGTGGGGAACCCCAGAGCTCCTAGCCACCGTGGAGGCAGGTGCTGTACCCTCTCCCTTCCTGCAGCAGGGCTGGGGCTCAGCCCCATTTTGTCACAGTTATTTTTAGTAAAAGTCAGGGACAGGTCACGGGCCTCTGTGAATTTTTGTTTGTTGCCCGTGACCTGTCTGTGATTTTTTACTAAAAATAACTGAGATAAAATCTTAATCTTAGTAATGACTCAGTTGCTATGTAGCTGGGCTGTATATGAACCACTGAGCTACAGGTGCTGTATCCCAGTAACAAATGCTGGAGTATCCCAGTACCCTGATGAGGATGAATTTGCCTCAGAGGACAGGCATAGACTCAGTCACTTCCTGACCTTCTGCATTATTTAGAATATAAGAATTATTTATTTAGAGTGCTTAAGGTGATGCAATATAAAAAGTACTGGTAAATGTGAAAAATACTGTGAACATATGCAGCTCATTTAGACCTGGAGAGCTGTCATCATGAAAAGATCTCTCACATAGGACCTGGCAGGTTCTTTTCTGGGCTGATGAACCCTTGAGGACCCCAGACTGCCACATTTTTATACTTTTATTCCTTCTTTGTGTCTCTGCACAGGAGTTGCAGAAATATGAACAGTACATCTTTGCTGATTACACCAGAGTGATACAAGTAGAGAATGTCTATGAAGAGATTTTATTTCAGACATTGCTTGATGAAACCCTAAAAGGTAGGAATGCTTCTGAGGTGATAGTAACAATGTTTAGAATGTGGGTCTGTGAGGTCTTATTTCAGAGCTAGTGATAGATCGGAGCTGCCTTATTCAGATCCAGGTCCCAATTTTCCCAGAGGTTGGAAGTGTTAAGAGTCTAAGAGTTTTGATTCACCCCACTAAAGAGATGAGGCAAGCCATGAAGTTTGGATTCAGATCTGAACTTCCGCAAAGCTTGGGATATTCAAATCCATAGGGTGGTTCAAGCATCTTTCTAATGCAAATCATGTTACCTCCAGGATACCTTGGTTTCAATGGTCCAAGAAGCAAAGCCACTCTCAAAGCCCTGAACTTTCAAATAATTGATTACATCTAATGACATTCAGACTGAATTTCTCAGAATGAAATATGTTGCCAAAATAGAATTGCCAATAGGTCACCGGAACTAAGAAGAGCAGTCTCCAAAGATCTATCTGTGTGGGTATTGGAGAACGAAAAAGTTCTCAGTCAATATGTATAGGTGATAATAGGGAAGTTGCTGTATTCCACAAGTTCCAAATGGTTTTCTGGTTGGACTTCTGGCCCAAAATTTAGGTTTTGCATTTTAAAAAAAATGAATAGAAATGTTTATGATATTCAATTAAAATAGCTCTCTAGTTCTAGATTTAAATATCCTCCTATAGTGTTGTGAATCCAAACAGAAGCAGTCTGTTAGTGCATGAGAAATGGGAAGTGTAACTTCTTATTAACGTTCCATTGTCCAAGCTGAGTGAAATGAAAAAAAGCACAGCTAATTAAAATTAGGCCTTGTTAATAATCCATGATATTAGAAATATAGTAAAGGAGTATTTTTATTTTGAGTGTTCTTAAAATGTCAGTTTTTTAGATCCGTTTGATCTTTTTGTCTTACTTAGTAATAAAAGAAGCTGCCATTCTGAAGAAACACAACCTTTTTGAGGACAACGTAAACTTGCCTTATGAAAGTGTGTCCAGTTTAACTGACTTGAAGACCCCTTCAGGATCAGCACAAGCCAGTCCTGCTAAGAAACTGTCCACCACTTTAACAGAAACATCAGATACTGAAACTCAAAGTAATGAACTGCTTGTTGTGTCAGAAAAAATGATCCAGGAGAAGTGTCATGATGCTAGAAAGCCATCAGACAATGAAGAAGCAGTTTATGTCAATGTGTCTAGCAGTCCCGCAATTAGTAGAGAAAAGGTGATCATTACAGACATCACTGACAAACCAGCGTCTCATCCTTTTACTCCTAAGGAAGAAAAGGATGTGGAGGAAATAACTTCCCAGAATGAAAATGCAGTGGAGACCAAGTTTGGAGGGAACACTGAAAAAGAAAATAAGGTACAAGAAGAGGAGAGAAGTCTTACAGTCCCTGGTACTGTGAATGAGATCAGAAGCTTGCTGATGGTGACAGTTGAATTACCAGCAGTTGCTCCATCTGAGAACAAAAAGGAAGTGGCAAATGAATATGAAATTTTGAAGTGGCAAGAACATGGTGAAGAGAGTGATGAAAACAGCAAAACTAATGCAGAAACCGATCAAACAGACCAGGTAGTGAATAAAGAAGTAGAACATTCTGAGCTGAAGGTGGAGCAGCCACCTCCATCCAGTTTTGGTACAGGTGATATGAAATCAATGATCATTTCAGAGGCAGGCAACCATGCGACTCAAGCAGAATGTTTGGAGGTTGCTGAAAAACTGGATATGTCTCAAAAGTCAAAGGCAGAAATGGAGACTAACCAAAGTGTCTGGTATACTGGTCTGGAAAGCTGCAAAGGTCTTCATGACAAATCGCAACCAGAGGCACACACCGAAAGCATAGTTGGAGACAGAAGATCTGATCTGGAGGAAGCAGGTGAAGATCACATTCATGCTGACCCAATGGAAACAGAGGTTGAGAGCTTTCCTGGGTGTTCTGCTGAAAGTCCTGATGCAATACAAGTACCCATTCTGAGTATTGAAAACTTAAGAATAGAAACAACTAATGATTTTCAGGTTTCACTAGTGCTAGAGGAAGATGAGCTTAGCACGGCAGAGGTTACAGTCGATATTAAATCTGAAAGCTTTCCTGTTACTGTAACTGATGAGTGTCAGCCAGCAGGTGCACCTTCTCTACGTGCTGAAATCACAAGCTCCGTAGGAAGTGAAACTGTCACACAAGAAAACAGTGAGGACAGTTGTACAGAGCAGCACTCTGAAGAGTAAAAAGTGTTCTTCAGAAATATACAGCCCAATCCTGCAGCCATTACTCGCTCCAGCAGTTCTCTTGAAATCAGGAATATTCACGAGTAAAGACTGCAGGAATGGGCCTAATTGCAGTGTTGCCAACTCTTGCAGTTTTATCACAAGTTTTGCAGTACTTGGAGGGTTTTGTTGCAGGCCCAGTTGTTGGAATCAGGTTATTACCTGCGAATCTCAGCTTTCATTTTAAAAAAAGGTAAATTTCTAGCCCTCATTGTGGAGAAAAGCTTGAAAGCATGACTCCCTAAATGCTTGAACACGTCAAGGCAAATAAAAAGAATCAAAAATTTATAAATCTCACAAATTTTAAGACAACTTTATATTTTTTCGGGGGCCGACTCATGTTTTTTGAATGGTTGGGATTGGCAATATTACAACTGGTCTTAACCGAAGTTAGTCAATCAAAATGTTATTAAATGAATTAATTTAGGATCTGCATTCAGTGTGTTAGAAGGAAAACATTTAAATCTCTCAAGTAATTAAACAGGAAACAAATAATTAGTAGGTTGTTCAGCAGCCAAATTGCATGTAAACTTTGAATTTTGCAAGCCAACTGATTACTTAAGTATCTTAAAGTTTTGACAGAGATTAAGACAATGAAATGTTCTGATTTTTTTGCTATATTTAAAACTGGGAAAACACTGGGAGCAGGTTTCTCAATCCCACTCTGCACTTCTGGGTTACACAGCCTTTCAGAGCACTTTACAGCTATTTTCTTTCTTTTCTTTTTTTGGATCTAATGAGAATATTTACAATAAAACCAGCTAGCACCCTTATGCAGCACCTACCTACTGCACTTCCTAGTATACAGTACATTCACCCACAATCCAAAATACTAAGGTCTGAACTGCAGTACTGCCACACGCATAAGACTGTATCACCAAATCTCAAAAGCATGTGAAATCAGAACGAAGTATGAAATGTCCCATATACCATAATCATACCATTTACTCTCCAATTTCTTGATGCAATGGAAGGGAAAGTAGTTAAGGAATAGCCAGTTGTGCTTAGGTTTTGGGAGACAAACTGGTCATATTTTCAAAAGTAGCTTCAAAAATCAGCAATGCACAGAAAATCATAGAGGTGAAAAATGGAGTTTTAGTAAGTTGAGCATTAAAATTGTATCTGCAATTTTAGAGGTTGGTTTGAGATACCTTAAAAGTTTGGCCCAGGGAATAAGTACAATTTAATGTGAGTAAGGGTTGCAGAATTGGACCCATAAAGAATAATACTGGAAAGTAATGTCCTTTTCAAGCGATAATAAAGATCTGACAGCATAACCTCAGTCTTGTTGGCATTTAACTGTAGGAAATTTTGTAAGGTCCATAGCATGAGACAATCAAACTGTTATATAGTACTAACAGGGAAGTGACACTATCTGAACAGACAAACATCTGTTTGGAAATGCCATGATATTGGTTAACTTGATCAAGTGGAAGGTTGCTGTTGTGAAATAAATGCTACTACAAGGAGTATTTATACATCATAATTATAGGAATAAAGTCAAATACCAGATTTTTTGGAGGACTGGTCATGAATGTTTGTTTGATGCAGAAATGTTCATACTAAAGTGTCACACAACCAACTGTCAACTAACTGTCTTATGGATCATTCCAGATTTTTATTGATACTGAACATTAAGGAGTGATTTCAACTGTGCTTGACAATTAATCAGTGCATGTCTCTTGTAACCCTTTCTTTGGTTGAAGGACATATTTCCAGTTTAGAATACTGTGTGATAGAAGAATAGCAGGATAGTAGCAATTATCTCCTACATACAAGACTGCATTTTACAACTAAAGCTATTTAGAAATGAAATTCTTTTGATGTACTTTCTATATCGGGGTAGGCAACCTATGGCACATGTGCAAAAGGTGGCACGCAAGCTGATTTTCAGTGGCACTCACACTGCCCGGTTCCTGACCACTGGTCCTGGGGGCCCTGCATTTTAATTTAATTTTAAATGAAGCTTCTTAAACATTTTAAAAACCTTATTTGCTTTACATACAACAATAGTTTAGTTAGACTTATAGAAAGAGACCTTCTAAAACCTTTAAAATGTAATACCAGCACGCGAAACCTTAAATTAGAGTGAATAAATGAAGACTTGGCACACCACTTCTGAAAGGTTGCCGACCCCTGAATCTATATGTACAGAACAAAAGAGAATTTAACATAAACGTTCTCCTCCAAAGTAATATTTAATCATTCACATTACAGGTTTAGATTTAGGGAAATACTTCTCTGTAGACACCTGGTAATTCGGTGTTGACTACAAATGTTTAGTGTGGTTGGTTTTTTTGTAAGTAGAATAGGGAAGAACTGAGAAGACTCATCTCATATATTATCTTTTGTTCTACAGTTTTGAATTCAGGTTATTCATATCAGTAGGTGTTTGTTCTGTGTTTTTATTTACATTTTTCTTGGTTTCTTATGTACTAAGATTAAGGATAAACAGTTGCATGCCCCACCTCAACATAGTCTTGGAACATAAAATGTATTTGCTTTATTCTGAATGGAGTAGCACAAAGCAGTCTATGGTGTCAAGGATCTGTCCCCTGGTATTTCCATCATTGGAAGGTTGCTTTGGACCTTTGATCAATAGAAATAGTTTATTGATTAATCATAATTTTTTGTGTGCAATTTTCTTAGCATTTCCAGCAACATTATCCAGATTGAATTTTCTTAAAGTACAGCTAATAAGACTTATTCCTTTACCTCATAAGTTGGGGGTGTAAGAATTAATTGGTTAAGAGTTCTAAAGTGCATTGAAGAGGAAAAGAGCTATATATGTATTAAGTATTGTTGTTGTTGTTATTATTATATTTCTATTGACTACCAGCTTGAGTAGACAAAACAAGAAACACATTATAACTTGCTTATAACTTTGTAAAGTGCTTATAACTAAATAAAATATGGTCATCCCTTTCATTGCTGGATGTCAGAGGTGGGTTTTTTAAGTGAATTTGATACTTGTGAGAAATACCAGCTGCAGTTTACTTCAGATCTCATTCATGCTGGTCCATATTTTTATCAGAGGGGTCACTAGAAAACAATCTCAGATTATTGCCAGCTGTAGATCTAAACTCTGATGCTCCTGGGTGGTGATATGTGATGCTGTCTCTAGAAGAGGTATTGTCTGTTTAACTGTTAGGCTTAAAAAACAGTTTCTTAAAGTGCTGAAATTCTGAATTCACTTCCACTCGTCATAAACCCAGGTTGTGAGTCCATGTACTTGAACACTGGTGAGAATAAGAGAGAAAAATGTCCATTGTAGCACTGTGGCTTTAATGTTTAAATTACAACAGAAAAGCTGGGGCCAATATCAGTGCTGGGAGACAGCCTTTCTTCTCCAGGCTGTTTACAACCATTCAAATGATTCTTTTTAAATCCACTGTTAAATGCAACAAGCTAATGTCCCATAGAAAAATATTTTTGTTTACATTTTTTTTTAAATTAGAGTCTGAATTGTTTCTCACTAAAATATTTTAAGTCATATTTTCAGTTCCTTTACCCTATTTTTTGCTATTCAGAACATTTGAAGTAACAAGAGGTTTTCATTTAAAGTCGCAAGTCAGGTGACATTATAAGTACTTCCATAGTTTTGTGTTTGTACAGTGCCTAATACAATAGGGTCCTGATCTAGGACTAGAATTTCCAGGTGCTACAGTAATACAAATAATAGACAAGACAGGATGTCACCAACGTGGAAGGACTGGGAATTTGGGTAGGGAATAAGCAGCAACTGGTATGCCACATGAACTTGTAAAGTGGAAACTAACTAGTGTGAGGAAATGAGGACACCCATGAGAAAGCTAGGAGGGAAGGCAGAAGAGTCAATCTCAATCCCATAGAGCAAAATGGAAGCAGCAGTAAATGACAGAGAGGAATGGAAGAGACTGGTTTCTGCCCTGTTCTCCAACATTTGTACAGGAAGGATGTTTTAAAAAGCAACAAAACCAGAAGAGTTCCTAAAGATAATCTTCCATTCATGCATGTCACTCAATACAGCCATACAGTGTGCAATATAGTCAGAATTGATTTAAATGGAGTATGTTTAAATGTTTTATGGAGCACTTCCTTTTCGCATTCTAAGCAAGTGTAATAATTGCACACATTGCCTTCTTGGGGACACTAATTTTTATTTTAAAGATGTAATTTCTGCACTATATCAAGATGAACTGACCAGATGCTCACTTGTGCTCTCACCTTTCTCTGTCTCTCTTGGCTGGCAAATTCAACATCAATTGAAATGTAAAGGAAAAACTAAACTCTTCTTTGACTCGATATTGTTCTTCAATGTAACTTTGTCAAAGCAGCCATACTTACCTCATGTCCCACAGATTTAATGTATAATGCCACATATACACTCAACAGCTTGCCACCCACAGCCACCTCCTGTTCCTCTGGTATGGCAGAGTTGACCCTACCCACATAGCAAAAAATTTGTAGTAAATGTTTATATAATGCTCGCCAAATGTCTGAGCAATGAAAGTAGCCCGAATAACTTAGCCATACTTTCTTTCAGACTTTGCCCAATTTAGGGCCGTACCTTAATTTGGCAGGTGCCATAAGACTGCCAATTTTTAGGTATTGTCCTCTGGGGCAGGTTCTCGGCATTGTAGTGTTGTGATGCTGTTCTGCTTCATCACCGTCTTCCCCCTCAAAAGAGATTTCTAGGTTTATTTTAATATAGGCTGCAAGGTGAGAAATACCCTTGTCAAAAATCGACTGTCAGTCAAAAGAAAAGAGGCAGCTATGGCCCTCCAGCACTATAATGCATCTAATTGACGTAACATTACAATTATAACTGTGCTGTAGATTCCTGGCTAGTATTTGTTGGCTACATCCCTCTACTGGATACAATCAGAAGTGCTTAATTTGGTGTCATGGGCTCTATACTGTTAACACCAAAAAGAGATTCCTCTTCAGCCAGTGGTTAATGTAGACTGCCACAGTTCTTAAGACCAACCAAGATGGTAGAGGGAGCACTACTTAACCAAGCTGGAGAGAGGGGAGATATCTTTGCCTCTAGCTTCTCATTACATCAACCCCCTGCCTTTAGCTGCAGTGGCAGTGGCCTATGCTTTGGTAGTGGGAGCATCTGGGTTTTATCTCTGTTGTCACAAAAATCTGACTGGCTGGGGATGACCATACATCCCTTATTTCAAAGGACCATCTCTTATTTCATTGATTTGTTGTATGAGTAAAGGAAGGCTTTGCAGAGCAGTACTTAAAGAATGAAACTGTTGACTAAATCTTGTTTTCAGTGTAGAAATCAACCTGAAGAAACCTAGTCCCTTTAACAAAAGATTCTCCTTTTGTGTTCTCAGACTGCATTGAATTGCACATCTAAAATGAAAATCAAGGATGTGGCTTCGTGTTTGAGACTTTGCCTGTTAAAACATTCAGAAGTTTTTCTACCCAGCCCTCTGTTTTTGCACATGTAAAAACTATTCTTATATGCACTTGTAACACAAGTAAGGAAATGCTAGGAAGACTTGAGAAAATTTCTGGAAAGGTAAAGGTTCAATGGCTAAGTAAACAGAAAATGCTTGCCATATATGGACACCAGTATGCTTTACTGCAAGGAAGGTACAGGGAGTACTGTGTGTAGGGGAAGAGGTGGAACTTTGAAACATGGTATCCAGCTCCTCTTCCTCCCAATTTCTTAAAACTGGTAGAATTTATATGTTCAGTCCTATCTCAAATTCAGCAGTAGAAATAATATTTTCCTTGTGTAAACAGACTTAGATTGCAGAAACCTACTACATTTTTTTTAAGGCTGCACTTCAAATTAAGTAAAATCAATTGTACATGTAAAGAGTTTTATAAATTGGTTTAAAATGTATTGAAATGTATCAAAACTGATCATTAGTACATTTTAAACATTAAATTGAAGTTTATGATAATTCCATTGTATACTTCAGGGCAGTAGAAATGTACACTTGAGAGAGAAATACATGATATGCTAAGGGAGAAAGGGAGTTTCCCTAAAACATCCTTTAAAACAAAGCATTGTCCTGTATTTTTCATGTGATTTTCCCTTGTTTCCATTCATCAAAGGTGGTCGCCCTAGAATCTGAGGCACAGAGCAGTGAAGTGATTTGCTCAAGGTCGCATTCAATGCTAATGCTGGGCAGTGTCCACACAGGCTTCAAGAAAATATAGAACAACTGTGTAAGACACTCCTCACTGTTTTATTCATAGCAAAGTCATTTCCCAGTAGGGCCAGTCTCAAGCTTAAAAAAACTCAGGCCTCAAAAAAATCACATATTTATTTGCTTGGGGGTGGGGGGGAACTTGGGTGGAAGGTCTTTATTTGCCTTTTAATTTCTGATCCTTTGGAGCTACATGCAGATGCTAGTTTCAAGCTTGTGCTGAATGCTGCAAACTTTTTTTGTTTAAATGAAAGCTGTGGTTCTCACATAACCACAAGTCCAGCACCTGGGGCTTTAAAAAAAAACGCCAAATAGCATAAGACTACTGCCAAAATTGTGATAGTTGGGAAATCCCCCTTCCCTTAGGCTCCTGTGTGGGATGAATGCTGAGAAACAAGACATTTGCCCCACAGTGACTTGTTACATGCAGCAGAATGAGTGGGGCTCTAGAGCCAGCAAGAAGAGCTCCCAAGCTACTGCATTGGCTTGTAGGACTGCATCCACCCTCATCGTCTATAAGTAAGGCCCTTTATATAACGCCCTGTCAGGGCAACTCACAAACCACTGCTCCTCGTGTACAATGCTCTCAGAGGAGCCATGCAGCTCATACTCATCCAGACTACAGCTCCCAGAAGGCAGTGCTCCCTCCAGAGTTTAGCGACCAGCTCGGGGTGGAGCGTTGCATGCTGGAACTTGCAGTCCCCGCGCGTCATCTCCCGAGCAAATAGCTGACCCCTCCTTTTGTCCACGTCTCACTCCACTAAAGTCTTTCACCGGAATCACGTGGCACACAAACGGACCCCCCCCCCTCACACCCCTTCGGCTCCGATTGGTCCACAGCGGCGCCACGTGACGGGCTGAACCCGGAAGCCGCGGAAGTAGATTGTTTCCTTGGCTACGCCATAGGAAAGCGAAGGGCCAGTCCTTTCCGTTTTCACGTCGGCGGCGCTGAGAGCGGCACCAGCAGCCACCGCCGCCAGGGAGAGGGGCGGGCTGCGAGCGGCGAAGATGGGGCTGAGCCGGGCCTAGCGGGGCGGCGGGCAGCTGCTGCCATGAGCGGAGCTGCTAGTGGTGAGGGGGGGAGCGGGGACCCCGCAGCCCGCTGGGGGAGATGGAAGCTGCTGGCCTTGGGCCTTCTCTCCGCCTCCTCGGTGCTGGCAGCCGCCCCGGGCGCCGGAGCCATGAGCAGGGAGGAAAAGCGGCGGCTCGGGTAAGCGGGGAGACGCGGCGGGGGCTTGGGGAGGGTGGGTTGTGCGCAGCTGGCGAGCGCTTACCCTGACCGGCTCCGGGAGTCGCTGCCCCTTGGGGCGGGTGGAAGTGGCCACCGCCCCCTCTGGCATCACTTTCCCCGGGGGGCTGACCACTCTGACTGCCCTTGCGACAGCTCCCGCGCTGTCAGCTTCGTCTGCAGGGGCTCAGCATCTGGCCCCGTGGAAGGGGTGCGGACCCTGTTGCTTGCCCCCCTCCCCCCCCGAGCGTGGGGAGCACTCCCCCATGGGGCCTGGCCATTCCCCCGGCTCCCAGTGGGGTGTGGCTGAGCCCCACTCCGCCCACGCATGGATCTCGGCCGTGTGGGGCTGATCTCCAGCCAGCGATCTTTGTGACGTTCCCAGTCTGCACGAGAGTGGTGCCTAGCCCCTCAGAGATGTACTTTGATGACCTTGTCCTTCCCTGAATTTTTGGTATGACAGTCACATCTATCTGCCTATCAGGTCATCTTCCCCCCTCGTGGTTGACACCCCTAGTATCTGTGTGGTCATGAAAATTTCA